GCAGTGTTGGCCTAGTGGCCTCAGCGTGCCACTCTCATACCTGAGGTCGTAGGTTCGATTCCCGGCTGTGCACCAATGGACTTTATATGTGCGCATTTAACATTTGCACGAACGGTGAAGGAAAACATCGTGAGAAAACCAACATGTCTTAGATCCAAAAAGTCGACGGCGTGTGTCAGGCACTAGGTTGTAGCGCCATTGATTTATTTATTAAAACGATGTTCTTTGGATTTATAACTTAACCAATACAGTTATTAGTTTGAAACTGGGAACTTATCTTATTTTGAGCTTTTCGTTATTCGTTACTTAATTTTGCTGTAGAGCTTATGTATTATTTCAAATGTAAATAATTGCCATTGGTCTTACAACAGAATGCTTGCATAAAGGGACGTGTTTACTCTAGTTAAGATTAATCTCATGCGATTAAGTTACTTCGCAATGTCATTATGTGATGGAGAGATTGAGGACAACACGGAAGACGTGTTAATTAGTTTTTTGGGCTATCTGATAATATTATATTTATTAGATTTTATTCTATGTATATTTTGTATAATTACCTAATCAATGATGCCGATTTCGTTGATTTGTCCAAGTTCCAATGACTTTTCGCGGAACTACAGTTAAGTTTTCGAAATCAAAATATAATTCGTACCATCATTCGTATATGTCAAAGTTACCTATATTCATTGATTTATTAAAAGTATACCATCCATAAAATACATAGAAAAATTAACACATATTCCAAAAATTAACAAACACTGATTTTCAACTAAACATTATTTTTTATCTAATAGCCTAAAAAATATTGTATAAATAAATGCCTTGACGTCCGCTGATGAAACTCAGTTGCAGGTCCGAAAGAATTAGAAGAATTATTTAGGCGCTGCCCTCGTTTCTGTGACCCATCGTCTTCACCCTTTATCCCCTTTATCTTTTCTTTATCCCCCCACCCACCATTTCGTCATATATTAATTAAATGGATAATACTTGCGTAATACCAACAATAATAAGCTCATGTGACATTTAAACGCAATTCCTCATCCATTTGTCATACAAAGCAACATAAGGTATTAATTCATCAAATGTATTTCACATACAAAATTGCATCCAAAACGTCAATTGCGTTGTAGGGAGTCCATTGTTAGTGTAAATTAGGCAACGATTGCTTCGTAGAATTGAGCAATTCGATAAGCAATAACACAGTGTTATTGAAGTTGCTTTGTGATTGGAGTTATGTCCAAGGATTAATTGACTCGGTTTATATATAGGTAGGTTATTATCACAAAATAATTACTCTAGGTGTAATGTATCAGAGCAGTGTCGGCCTTGTGGCTTCAGCGTGCGACCCTCATACCTAAGGTCGTAGGTTCGATCACCAGCTGTGCACCAATGGACTTTCTATTTATGTGCGCATTTAACATTTGCTCGAACGGTGAAGGAAAACATCGTGATGAAACCGACATGTCTTAGACCCAAAAAGTGGACCTTCTTGCCCATTAGATTTAAAAAATGATCATGAAACAGATTCTGAAATCTGAGGCCAAGACCTAAAGAGGTTGTAGGGCCACTGATTTATTTTTATTTTAGGTTTAATGTATCAGGCAAGACACATAAAAACTCATATATAAAAGAATAGAAAAAAATATAGCTACAAGAACATTTTGCTGTGTACTGGTTATGCGTACTGCGGGTACTGGAACTGCGAGATAGTTACGACGTTCTGTATTTATTTTCCTGATCAGTTTTCTTTGTAGGCTAAAATCTGGCGCGTCTGACACAGGCCATTCATTTTATCGGCTTTGACTGGTTTCATCTCGATGTCTTCCTTTATATAAGCAATAAACTGAGTATATAGAAAAATTTATTAAAATTAATATATTATTATATTTTAATCAAGATAGGTATAGGTATGTATTTGTTAAGCCAGTGTTAATTAAACATTACAATCAATGTGTTGACTTTTATGAATACTTTATTAATTTAATATTATAATACAGTTCAAAAGTAGTTCGAGCACATGAGTTGGCTGGGTCGTTAATCTGCTTGCCTGCCTTTTAAGAATTGGTACGTTCTTTTTTTGAAGGAATGAGACTAAAGAGTTTCCTTAATAAATACCTTAAAAATATGTTCTCAGAGCACTTAAGATGAGAACGTTTGAAAAACCAAATGGCGGATCAATGGATTGTGATTGGTCAATAGAAAATCCCATCGCGTGTCTGTGATTGGTCCCGTCAATGTCTTAATTGTAATACCTACGTTGTATTCTGGTAAAAGAAAAGTTATACAACTTTTAGTTTCATATTTTCATTGAATACATACAATGTACCGCATTCATTACTTAATGGAACGTTGCAAGCTCAGATCTACCTATTACATCCTAGGAATAAAAGCGCACCACAGTACTATCGCTGATAGAATAACAAAAAACAATGCACAGATACTATGTAACAACCATTAGCGATAATTATTCCGATTTCCGATTATATAAGATTTTTGTAAATTGATACAAAAACGGGGAGACCGCTGTCGCTATATTCGCCCCTCGATATTCAGGTATTTACGTTCGACTTTATTCATGACAGAAATTAAAATCTGCAGCTGAGTTTTGATCATCAAGAAAGGACGTCAAGAAAGAGTACAAAATACCATCCGTATCACCTCGACGTCCGTCGTTCCACCACTGAGCGTTTCTTTTCGCACCACCACTATGTGGAACCAGCTGCTCACTGAAGTAGGTATTTCCGAGCCAATTCGACTTAGGGTCCTTCAAAAAAATAGCGTACCAATTCTTAATAGGCCGGCAACGCACTTGTGAGCTTTCTGGCAGTGTGAGTGTTCATGGGCGGTGGTATCACTTAACAACAGGTGCGTCTACCCGTTTGCGCCTCTGTTACATAAAAAAAAATAGAATATCATTGTGGGTCAGTGTGAGTTTTAAATTTTTGCGTTTTTGAAACAGTTAATAACTATGTCGCTTCTATAATACAAATATTGATTACTATAATAAGCCTAAGCTACTTATTTATTTCGTAATCCTACAGTTAACATAAATTATGTATAACTAAAAACAGTTATATGTACTATAACCAAAGATGGAATACATAATACAAAAAGGTTTAAACATAATATACAAAAGGAAAAAACCAATAAAAAGTCTTAAATTTACATTTAACTAGATAATAAAGGCGTTAAAGGTACACTGCCATAGGGACCAAACCTTTTCAATTTGTTTTAATTTTCTTTTTATTATTTGTTGAAAATTGTCAATACTGTATATTAGATTTTTATGATTACTAGTTAATATAGAAATAAACGAATTACCACTACATAAACAGTATACTGTAATGAGACTACTATCTTTTAACTTTGACTTTCTTGACTTAACCCCTAACGTTGGTTAATACCATGAGTTATTTGAAAGTTTTAGTAAAATGATTTAAGGGATTGCTCTAAGCTTTCCTTTCTTGCAAATAAAACCAAAGTAAAAGAAATTCTTTATATTCAGTTTTAAATAACCGTTATCAATTTGGCGCTTAATTTTTTTGTCTATGTCCTGTCATGTGTCCATGGATACACATTTTTTTTTTGTTACAGGAGGAAGACGGGCTCACCTGATGTTAAGTGATACCGCCGCCCATGGACACTCGCACTGCCAGAAGGCTCGCAAACGCGCTGCCGGCCTTTTAAGAATTGGTACGCTCTTTTCTTGAAGGACCCTAAGTCGAATTGGTTCGGAAATACTTCAGTGGGCAGCTGGTTCCACATAGTGGTTTATTACATTGTTATAAAATCTTCATGATTATATACTTTAATAGCCTCTTTACAGTATTAAATATATTATTAGTTTAAGGTACCAAAGTTTATACAGCTGATATTGTATACGATATTCATAAGTTTTCACTCTCCCAATATAAATAATTCATAAAGCGATTGACCATGACCGAGGTTCTCTTTTGGAATACCAAATTATTTCACAACAGTCCATTTCTCTGAGTCGCTTTTCTATTCGGCTTTAAACAAATAAATAATCTACAAGTTACTATGTACTCTTGTTTGAGTGTTCCTCGTGGTTCGAACCCCGGCTGTGTATCAATGGACTTTTCTACATATGCGCATTTATACAATTGTAGCGAATCGTAGATACGCACTAAAAATGTACATACTCTTTTGTGTAGTATTTTCTCTAGGATTTTGATGTGTGTGTTAACATAAAGATAGGACACTAAGGGCCTGTTTCACAATGTATGGATAAAGTACCAAATAGCTATGCAACACATAAATTATTTGGAAGATAAATTGTGCTATTTGACATTCATCGGACTCATAGCTTATGATGGACTTTATGTGACGAATAGCGCTATCTGACAGTCGTGAAACGCAACAATAGTGTTTATCCTACCAAAAAGTAATAAATAGCTCATTTGGAACTTATGTCGAACTTATCCGTACATTCTGAAACAGACCCTAAGGAAAAAAGAAAAACATATATATATATTCACTTGTCTTCAAAGTCCGTCTGAGTGACGTCTGTTTTCTTCTTAATTATATATTTTTGAATGTTTTTCGTCCACAAAAAGGTAATATCCCATACCCTACAATACCACACTCGGTTCACTTGCAAATACATAAACGTGAACATTATATAACCATTGAGTAGGTATTAAATAAAACTGTAAGAATATACGAGTACTTATATCAATTTTTAAAATCATCTATTGAAACATCAATTTCGGATGATTACATCTTAAAGCCGGTAATAACGTTGACCGTAATTTTCGTAATAAACAAAACTCTATCTACCTATAGTTATGTATAGTATCGATATATTGATTTATTTGTTTCAAAACAGATTAAACTATTTCCTTAATTAACTAAATATTTCAAACAAGATTAATGAAAGTATATTTCCTATTTTCTCCTGCAAACTGACAGGAAAACAAAACATACTCCTTTGAGGAACGATAATGAAATAACGAGTGTCACCTCCGACATTTTATATTATGTCGATATTAAAAGCTCGGGATATTTCCAGGTAAGTTTTATAAACACAGTTTTATTCATTTTTATTTTTCGGGCATAAATGTGAATTCATATCACGTTAAATAAGTTTATTTAAATATGTATTACTAAAGGAACCCTTTAGCTAAGAAACCAATTCAGTCATATTACACTTTAACTATTTGTCGTGTTGAGGCCATTTTGAACCGCCTCCAAAAACCAGAAGGTGGTTAAAAATTGTGTATTTTTATTCTGCACTGACTGAAACCGGGTTATTAGTCATTTTTAGTCTTTAATAAAGGCTTAGAAAAAATGTGTCGGGTTGGATTTAGAAATACATCGCCTGAATTTGATGCTACTGATTATGTAGGTATCTCGGGGACCTTGATTGGAACCCCTCCAAGTAATTTTGGCCCAATGTGTACACACCGTTTTTTTTATAATAAAAATGTATTTATTTCATTTAAAAACAATTCATTATAATGTGTTTGATTTGAGAATCCTATTAAGTAAAAAATACCTGTGTCGGGGTTCCCCTTCCATAACAAACTTAATAGTAAACTCCATAAAAATATATAAATTAGGTAAATATATACTTAACCTTCCTACCCACCTAGCCATTTCACCTCTTGATGAGCGCCTCCTGTGGACAGCTGTAAATGTGCTAAGAAATATGATTGAAATTGGGTGTGAATGTAAAACGATTTAATGTCATTTGAGATGTTTTCAAAAATAGGAGAATGCTCGGTCGCAATTTCAAAAACCTCTTGTCTCTATCTTCACTAATATAATAAATAAAAATGAGAAAAGAAGAGCTCAACGATTCTTCTGTCATTGTATGTCTAAAAACTTTCGGAGAATGATCGTTCGAAATTTCAAAAACCCCTCGTCTCTATCTTCACTAATATAATAAAAAAATTTAAGAATAGTAATCTACTATAGTAACTACTGAACAGATTTTGTACTTTAGCAGTTAATAAAAGTGTAATTAACGTGATTTATATGCGGAGTAAGCGCAAAACGGGTGTCGCAATGGGAGGAGTTGATGCGGAAGTTTTCCGAGGCTCACAAGGAACAGTGCAAGTAACTATTATTTACATAATTAAACCTTTACGCAATGATTTAATATAGTTTTATAATTTAACCAGCCCGAGATTTTCATTCATATTAATTCGGTCGTAGCTGTTTAGCATTCAAGTAATTGACTACGTAACACAAAAGTAACGCATAAACCTTCTTAAATCATTTAAAATTCTTGAATATTAAAGCCGAAAGCCGTTTGTCTATGGCACTAGCCAGTCCAGCCATGTGAAACCGAGATAGGCAAGTAAAGAGAAGAATTCATCAGCCATACGTATTCAGCTTACGAAGTTTAAAGTTATTTGACTTATTAAAATAATGTTAGCTATCTCAAAGGATGCCATGGCAATATGGTTAACATCCTGATTGCTTAATTGGATATTTCCTGGTTCAAATTCGGTAGAGATGATAAATATAGAGTTATTAATATTGATAGATATTTAGTTAACTCATTGATAACTTATTTATACTGCAACGAGGCCATGGCTTACCAAAAACACCTTCCTTTTTTATACACGTCTCTCTTGTCAGAATAAATAAATCTTCTTTTACGGATAGGTATAAAAGCTAAATTCTTATTTACGTAATACGACGCTTCTAGAGCTTATAAAATTTAAATGTATAGTAATCGCGAAGATTAAAGACGATTTTTATCAGTTGAAATTTTTATTTACGCTAAAGCTATTTACAAAACTAATGTTTTCTTAATTTTTCCAGAACAGTTTCCCTGGATATACCCCGGGTCCAGCGATCAGTCAAGCAGTTCCCAACGGGGTCACAGTACGAGGGTACCTGGGATGTTCTCGGCATGAGCGGATATGGAGTGTATAAATTTCCCAACGGTATTCTGTTTAGAATATTTCCTGTATACATTTTAATTCTATATTTTAAAAGCAGCATAAATTGCGAGTAAATATTCCTTTATTAGCACTTATACGTTGGAATTTATGAATTTTTTGTCATTATGGCATCTCTACTAAGATCATATTTGTTTAGAGCAATTTTATTTATACGCCTTCACGCTTATACAGGGCGTCCCAAAACTATGGGACATCAAGGGAAAGTACCTGAGATATCGTAGATAGGATTTTTTGCTGAAACAAAATCATTGAATGCAAAATATCCTATCTGCTATACTTCAGGTACTTTCCATTGATGTCCCATAGTCTTAGGACGACCTGTATATTGCATATTTTAATGTAACTTACCGATGTCTTATTAAGTCTATTACACATAAATGTTGGTAGTTCTGGTAATTTCTCGGGAGTACTAAAAATAAAATTCTAGCGTCAGGTCAAATATTTTCCGATTACGATGACATTTTTCCAATTATTCCAAGCTTTGCCAAGAGACTTTTATAATGAGACACGTCCAAATTTGTATTCTACCTGTGTTTCTACGTTACCTATATTTTATGCAGGGTCCCTGAATTTTTATGACGGCAGTAGCGTTTATATTAGGGAAAATATTTTGTTTCTAATATGTCGGAGAGATTTATCGTCACTCCATGGATATTTTTTTTTTTTTAAATAAAAATAAAATAAAATATTTTTATTATGGAATATAAAATACAGGTATCACTTATTCCATGTCATTAAATTTGAATCTGTAGGCATCCCTACTCATCGACAAAGAAGACAGGTGTAGGCCGAGAGAAAAAGCCGGGGTAAAACTCTCGGTAGGTACTCTTTTAAAATAGCTAATCATGAAACAACACTTATTTTAAAATAAATATCGCAAATTAATTAGAAGTAGCCTGTCTAGAACTAGTCCCAGGCCCTTTTATCAACTAGATTATCGTTAACTTTATAGTAAGCCTTTTTACACAGTTTTTCTTTAATACATTTCTTAAATTTATTAAAAGGCAGAGATAAAAGAGCCTCTGGGATTATATAAAAGAAAAGTTCCCCCTTTTCCCTTTTTTTTATTGACATCGTCATTAGCGGGTTTAGTGTGGGCGTCATGTGGGTAAAGTACGAGCACAAAAGACACGAATAATTATCGTACAATATTTAATTTAGATTGATTCCTTTTAACTTTATACAAATATAACTTAATTAGCTTAAATTATAACGAGCAGCGGGTTCAAGGCACCGATCTCACCTTTAATCACAATCTATTCAACCACAAATCACATAGACCCAACTCGGTCCAACGTCTCATCACCACAATGCTCCACAGAATTCTCAATCAGAATTACCCTGCGTTCCGGTTAATAAATAAAAATATATTAATTGACGGTAAATTTGTATTTCATAGCTGTAGTAAGTCCCATCTCTTTGGTCTGTTTTAAAAATTGTTGTATAAAGTTTTGACACAAATATGTATAGGTATACGAAATTAACCGGGTCGTCATCGTCATTATCTACTTATATAATATTATTATTATTTTATGTAACAGAAGGCAAACGGGCAGGAAGCTCACCTGATGTTAAGTGATACCGCCGCCCATGGACACTCACATTGCCAGGAGGCTCGCAAGTGCGTTGCTGGCCTTTTAAGAAATGGTACGCTCTTTCTTGAAGAATCCTAAGTCAAATTGGTTCGGAAATAAAAAAATAGATTACAGAAAATTATAGACAACAAAGTAACAAAATAAATAAAACGTACGTATCTACGAAACAAAAAACGGTGGGGCGACGTTATCTAATCTTGGTTTAACCAAGGATTATATAGTTTAGTTAAGAATATAGATCGATTCATCCCAAATGTTAACGATTAAATTCCATTTGTATGTCAGATTTGGTTGGTAGTAATAAATGATAATATATCCAATAATATAAAAAAGAAAATAAGATATGTCTCACTTAGTTAAATAATATCTTAAGTACCAGTTTTTGTTTTGCATCGTAACACTACTAATTTTATGTAAGAAAAAGCTCTTGCTCGGAAATATTTAAGACAGTTGACACTTAGCTACAAAGTTGTTTCATTTATTTGAGTTTCCCTTCAACAAGCGCCGCCCGACTTTTCTTAACCGTTTCGTTTTATTTCGATTGGTCAAAGACATATCATGTCATATGTCACAGACATTGTATAGAATAGCACAAGAAAACTATGCCCCTTATTTTATGACAATTGACAATTGTATAAAAAAACGATGTCTCTTATTTTATTTTATTTACTACATTATGCAAACCAAACGACACTATACTCAATTTGCTGACCATAATCAATCTGGAAATGTTGACACTAACAAAAGAAGGCAGGATATTCTTTATCAAATATTTTGTTTACAGACGTTATATACGAGGGTGAATTTGATGATGGATTATTTCATGGAGAAGGTGAGCTGAAGTACCCCAGCGGAGAAATTCTTCGTGGCAAGTGGAAGAAAGGTGCTCTTATTGATAAGACACTTATCTTTGCTGACGGATTGGAGTATGATGATATCGATTGGTCGTATTGCAGAATGCCTGATAGGAGGTGGTTATGGGAATGTTTTCTTTAACCTTTAAAAACTTTTAAAAAGCTATAAATGTCAACCCCTTGCTTTCGATAGGGCTGTGCTATTTTAGGCCTGTGGTTAATATTCATAGACTGAGGGCTTAGTCAAGATGCCTTAACTGTAGTGTATGTAGAAAGTCAAAAACTAAATTTGTCGACACGAACTGTCAGTCGAGTTGTACGATTAGACCTAGGACACACAGGACTTCGACCACCATAGTTTAACGATTGACTCTAGGCGAATCAAAACATAACATTAATTAAATTACCGATCTATAACTATCACAGCGAAATTTTGAAAAATAAAAAAGATTTTCATAAAAACCAAGTTCTTATAGGCTTAGGCTATAGGAGTTCGGTAATAATTTAATATTAATTAATATACTTTTAGATTTACTATCGAACATAACAACGGCCTACAACCAGCTGGCCAGTCTTACATGACCCCAGAACAGCCGTCACGTGAAGTTCCCCAGGGTTATTACGATACTGGTGATGGATTCTATGATCCAAAGACGAAGGTCATTTACAGTGTGCATGACTTGACCGCTATCATAAGGTAATCCAGAAAACACTCGTTCCCATAATGAAGTTAGAGAATAGTGGAAAATTATGCAATAAAAAACTGAAAAATGAAAGTGAAAATGTCAAGAAACAAAGTTAACTTTGTCACATCTTGTAATATTTTATTATTTGTCCATTATCCAAGCTTTGTTCAATTTAAATTATCGGTTCTGAATTATCGTAGGTCCCCATCAGTTCGTGAGCAGCGATGGATTATAGACAACTGCCGCTCCAATCCTATCCCAAAACTGGGTCCCCGCAAGGACCTCTATGAGGAGTGGGTGGAACCGATGCTTCATCTACCAAACAATTCTCGGCAAGACTCAATGCCGTTTATGGCACCTAGCAAGTCAACTCCTTCCTTCGGACAGGATTATGATGTACGTAATCAAACTCATAATGGGGAGTTTGTTTGGGTAGACAATAATACGTAATAAGTATCCAATGTGAACCGAAATCCAGAGTATATAGAATATAAACTAACTTAATTATTATTAATCTACTACTATAATAATACTTATAATATTTTCCAGACTAACTAAGTGCTGCATCTACATGTTTTTTGCCTATTTCTGTTTATTTTATATATTTCAGTCCGTATATGAATTTGGAAGCTGTTATTGGAGAAAAACTTCGGAAGGAGCCTGGAATAAGCGATTTATTAATTTTGAACCTACTGTCGACTAAAAATATATTTTGTAAAGAAACATTTTACCCAAATAAACTGTCAAGCAACATTTTCTTTTCGTCTATATACTCTATACTAATGTTGCGCTGAAGAGTTTGTTTAAAAGTTATTTAAATATAATGTTTATCAAAAGTATTCAAATTTGAACAAAATTGTCTGTGATATAATTTGATTTCAATTAATATTTAGTGATGATATCATTTCATACTATGTATCATACTATGTACATCATTTCCTCTAAAATGCCGTAATATTTAAAAAAAAACATAGTTGCAATTCATATCAGCAAATTAATTAAAAATAATTCATTGCATACTTCCTCAATATTCATTTAAAATTAATTACATCTAAAAACCAGATAGCTGTAGAATCGTGCAGAGTGATTTTTTACTATTAGATTGATCTGTATTCATTGAAGTAATTGTAATGTGTCAAGTATCAAATAATCAAAAGGCGACAATAGTACATGTCACGAACTTGTCAATAATCATTATGGAATATGGATGCTTTATGTCAACTGTCATCTAACCGTAGAGAAAAATCATAAAAGCATGGAAGGAGAAAAAACGGAGGTTTTTGAGAATTATAATTGTAGTATGAAATTCCATATGTACAGTTAAACATTTTATCTGATAAATATCCTTCGAGATATAAATCATCGGTATATGTAAATCAGTGACTTAACTCAATAGGATATTTATTGATCGGTCGCGAAAGTATTCACTTTACGGTCGTCATCCAGTCAAGTTTGTAGACATTATTTTATAACTTGTATTAGTAACTAAAACTATCAACCGGAAAAAATGAAAACAGAATGAAGTGCCATTACGAGGTCCTGTGCATATCGCGCGATGCAAGTGCATCTGAAATTAAAAAATCGTACCGCAAACTTGCGCTGCAATGGCACCCGGATAAAAACTTGGAAAACTTGCTAGAAGCTAAAGATCAGTTTCAATTAGTGCAAACAGCATATGAGGTCCTCTCCGATCCCCAAGAACGTGCTTGGTGAGTTTTATAAGACTCGTTTTTAATGTTTCAATTCAACAATTTAATTCCTTTGGCATCACAGCCACATTTTCACTGACATGAATTATTTAAGTAATAGGTACTTACTTATTACCCATTCACTTTTGTAATAATTATGTTTGCTAGTAATTACTGTTAGTATAATTAATATATGTTACTTAAAGATTTCACTTAAATTATTATAATAGGCAAATAAAAAACATAATGTGACAGAAAAGACAAATATGAGTCTGCATAGCCTGTTCTTTCATTAACAGGTATGATAACCATAGAGAGCAGCTACTGAAAGGTGCCGGTAGTTCTTATAATGATGACAGCTTGGATGTTTATCCATACTTTAGCCCATCCTGTTATAAGGGTTTTGGAGATGATCCTCAAGGATTTTATGGAGTTTACACTGAGGTGAATCTTTAATCCTTAATTTTAGTTATACATTTATTTTTCACTGTAAAATATTTTGAAGATTATTATTGAGATTTAATTCTAAATAAAAGTTTAACAGTGTAGATATTATTTCAATAATATTGATAAGAATGCAAAAAAAATATTATTAGTGTTTTGGACTTCTAAATTATCAGTTAAAGTTGGTATTTTTATAGTCCGGCAAATAAGTACATGCTCAAACTCTAAATACTGCATATTTTCTCAGGTATTCTCAAAGCTGGCCAGTGAGGAAACTGATTTTCTGGATGATCCTGAAGATTTAGCTAAGATACCAAAATTTGGCAATTCTACCACTCCTTATGAGGATGTTCATGAGTTTTATGCCTATTGGATGGCATTCTCTACTAACAAAAGTGAGTTTTTGCTGTTTAATACATATCTCTAAAGTTATCAAAATGTACAAGACATTTATTTGAAGTCTAATTTTTTTAACCATATTGTTAACTGTTACAGGCTATGTATGGCTTGATCAATATGAAATATCGCAAGGTGACAACAGAAGAGTTATTAAACTTATGGAAAAAGAAAATAATAAAATAAGACAGAAGGCTCGTAAGGAACGCAATGAAGAAATTAGGAGGTTAGTCAGTTATGTACGACGACGTGATAAGAGAGTTATTGAACATACAAAATTGCTTCAAGAGAGGGCTGAAGAGAATAAAAGAAAGGTATGAAATTAACTTAAAATTTTTGCCAACACACAACAACAACATTGTTTTTTTAAATAGATCATGAATATAATATATTTACAGTAATTTGATTTATTTTCCAGTCAGAACAAATTAGACGAGAAAGAATAATTCAAAGACAAAAAGAAATAGAAGAAGCAAAAATGAAGGAGGGAGAATCATCATTTTTGCAAAGTGAAGACTATCAAAAAAAATTGAGTGAAATTGAGTCTTTATTAGCTGAAGAGTTTGGCTTGTCATCTGATGATGAAACTATATCTGAAGGTGGTATGGAAAGTAGTAATGAAGAGAGCTCTAAGACAGAAGAGGTATTTTTACTATATTTTATAAAATAATATAGCCACTTTAATTCTATACTGTAAAAAACTACATATCATATGGGTAGTTTTGTTATTTTACTTGTTAGTTATTGTTATTTCCGTTAGTTTGTTTTCTGCGGTATAGACCTATTTTGGTTAAAGCCATCCATTTCTCTCCAGAAAGCTTAACTATGTCATCGCTTTTGTGTTAGCGCATCAGTGACCTGTTAGAAGAAAGTTTTAAAAGGAAAATACAGCTTAGATTTCAAAAAGACCGTTACAGACTCTAGCATCCTCCTTCGCCTGGATGTGATGTTTATAGTTAGTGTGAAGTCAAAGGTGACTACTGCCCAGAGAAATGGAGTGGAGCATCCTAAAAATTAAAAAGATCCACAAAATACGAAGTGACCCCACGGAGCTAACACTAAGATCACCGACACGCTAAAAATGCTATACTATTTAGTTAGGATATAACTGATATATTTTCCGTGATTAGAACATTTTTAAATATTTAGGATGTACATATTTTAAATTTCAAAACACTATCAAAGTCAAAACAATGACTATACATAGTAATAAACATTTAAAACCTAAACATCAGTCTTGACAATGTCTAATTTTGTTTTATATTTTTTAGGCAAGTGAAGCTTCAAGAGCAACAAAATCTTCACCAAGAGGCAGAGCAGCTCTGAAAAACTTATACTGCTCAGCATGCAATAAACTATTTAAAAATATAAACTCATTTGAAAATCATGAAAATAGTAAGAAACATAAAGAAAATGTGGCTAACATGATTCTTGAAGATGAAATAGATCTTTTAGACCAGGAAGCAATGGACAAAATTGAAGCTGAAAACCAAGAAAATATTGATGTTAATGGAGAACCAAATAGGGAAAATGAACAAGTAGGAAATTCTACATCAGATGTTAGGGAGACATTGAGTGATGACTCTGATAAAGTACAGGTGAGGATATAATATTTGTCATGTATGTACGGTCAAAATTTGTTATAACAACATTGAAGTCATCATATTTGGTTGTAAAAAATAATAATAATAATTATATAATAGTTGTAACAGCCAATGATGTTGTTATTAAGTACCTAATACAATAGAATTCAGCCGGGGCCTTTGATTTTGGTCAATATGGTATGTATGTATATGGTATATAACTGGTATGTTGTTCAAAACAATGTTGTCGTAAACGGTTTTGACTGTATATGTATTTGATTTAGTAAAAAATTTTTTTTTTTTTATGTTAACACATTTTCAGGCATTACCAAAAAGCCACAAGAAAAAGAAAAATAAGAAGAAGTCCTTTGTTCCAATGCCAGAAAGTGAGGGCAATGACAGCCATGACGAGATGAGCTTTAATGAAATAGAAGGTCCCGCTCGCAGTAGGAAAGCTAAAAAATTTAATATGCTGAAAAGCCAATTACAAGCAAAAAAGGAAGCTAATCTTAAAAAAGGTTCCCAATCCCAAACATCTACTGAGAACCTTTACGAAGTTTCTAGTACTACACCTACTGATGATGCTTTAGGTGAGGCAGTCCTCCCTAGTCCCAGAGACAAGCCTACCTTACCTAAAGTTCAAAGAAATATGAAGCCCAAAAAGCTAGTGGATAGGAAAACAATGAAGCCCAAGGCAAGTGAAACAGAGGACTCAAGTAGTGCAGTTAATCTTAGATGTGTTATCTGTCAAACAGACTTTCCATCTAAAAATAAACTGTTTGAACACCTCAAAAAGACAGGTCATTCAGTTCCAATTCCACAAACTAGCTGTGCTCAAAGAAAAGGCAAACGGTCAAATAGATAAATGCTATACTATTTAGTTAGGAATAAATACTATCTATTCAGAAATCATAATGAATTTCTTTATCTCTCTACAAATATGAAATGACTATCATTCTATTTATTAAACAATATTAATTATGGATCATAATTATTATGCCTAAATAAATAAATTTTATTTCAAAGGTCACTTTTATTTATAATATATATTTTAAATAAAATTATACATCATATAATCACATACATAAATTGCACTTATTCAAATATCACAAAAATTATATCTATCTATTCATACTCCGGTATATCAGCAAAACTGTATCCTGGATATTCTTTATATGCATAGTATGCTATCCTTACATGATATGCGCCTGGGAGGAACATAATACAGCCTAATAGTATGATTGGCCAAAAGCGGTCTGAATATTTTGTATCAATATGACCAGTAACTATTAAAAGCCCCACTGTTAGTAACACTGTACCAACTATGAACAAAAATGCAGCTAAAGCAATAGCTTTCCATGGTATCTTCTGAGGTGGTACCTCAAACTGAGAGTCGCAAAATCCGCTGTCGTCATTTGGTACTCTAACATATCCATTAGTAGGCCGCCCAAATCTTAACCTTGACATTCTGGAAAGTAACGTATTTATTAGCAGGTATATCTAATACGCAATATTAACATTTAACGAATGAAAAAACGGCATTAATAAAAGAAAAGCATTCCAATGTTATATTTATTACCTTTCTTGTGAAATTGTCAATTTAGCGAAAGTCTTATCTGGATTAAATTCAAGTTTTTTCTAAAACCAAGAACGAAGAAATAATCAATACGAGATGTAAACAAAATTCAACCGCACTCGCTAATTGTGTCATTGCATTGTTTTGACAGAGCTGATGATATTATTAATTTATTTCTAATGGGAAAGGCAAAGGACTTTAGTCAATACAGCTATTTTTGACAGAGCATAAAAACTGTCAGAATTGTTTCTGACAATAGACAAAAATATTTCCTATGTAGGTTTTTACATAATACATTTATGTAATTGTCGACTGTCTCTGCTACACAGTATTTTTCGTTTATGTATTTTCACTACTTTTGGCCATTTACAAACTTAATTATGAGACTAAATTCAACTATTTTAGTTAAAGTTGTATAGCATGTGCTCTCTATTAACCATTTTTGGCATAATATATTCTTAGGGATTAATAACTTTGAGTAAAGGACAATTATTTTTAGATATTTAAATACTGACAGTTTATTTTTCAAGGTCTTGCGCTGTCATTAACAATATGTAACATTAAAAAATTCATATTGTATTATATTTTTACTTGATGATAAAAGCACAACAAAAGCCTCCTTTCTTATTAAATATTATTTATGAAATACGAGACTTGGCCCTTAGTCTTGTTTCTGAACCTCACCGTAAGACATGGCGATTGCCCATTTTGTCAAGACGTTTTCTTTCGCTATCGCTACCAATGCTTTTGTTTATTTGCGAAAAAGTATTATTAATGAAGTTGGAGTTCATATGCTACTATAAAAAATGTAAAAGTGTACTTATAGTATAGTAATTAAAATCTATAAATCAATTTCCAATACATACATTGTCTAAAATTCAATTATTATTTTGTTTTTTTACAGCATATCTGTCACGTTTTTATTTTTATTTTCTTGATACGTCCAACTTTAGCGTTATTTGACCTGAAAATCACATTATACAGACTATTAACATAAACACCATAATGTAAGCGTACAAAAAGATTTGATCAAATATTTACGAGGCTTGAGCACGTCACTTGGTAACTGCACTGCCCTTGACCGAACTGCAGTATTCACATAGAAATAAAGCAAAGCTTCCTTCTTTCATGTAAAATTGCTTTATAGGATAGAGTTTTACATAAGATATTAGTTTATCATCTATCTTAAGCTCACATAACAATTCTAGGGGAGGAATGTATTGATTTGTGTTCCTAGAGTTGTCCTTTAATTTTCTGATAATGATGAATTATGTTTGAAGAGATAATTTGTAATTAGCTACGAAAATTAAATTCATGATATTTTAATACATAGCGATAATCGACTATAACTTATAAGATTTTCAACATCCTATGGGATCTAAGGATAATTTCATTGATTACTAAAAAAATATAAGCTTTTAAATTGCATATAATTTTGAATATATATGTAGTCTCATGTATGTTTCAATCATACTAAAATTATTCATTATTATTCAACATCGTTTGCTTGCTCACTGCCGAGTTTTGTGAGCGGTACGGATAAATAAACTATATAAAAATTGCGCACAAAAACAGAGGGTAGCTATCTGTATTTAATATTACAGAGTACCACCCACTCTTTCACGATTTAGTTTTATTATAAACCTATTGAACTAAATTGTAGATGTACAATTGGAGTTGTCCAGAAAAGTTGTTCGGAATAATACCTGCCCTGAGTTTCATCATCGTCGAGGCAGAATACAAAATTCCACCCGCATCACCTCGACGTCCATCGTTCCACAACTGGAGCGTTTTTAAGGCAGTTTTTGTTGCGCAACCAGTATTAGTATTCCCGAACCAATTCGACTTAGGGTCCTGCAAGAAAAGAGTGTATCAATTCTTAAAAAGCCGGCAACGCACTCGAGAGCTTTCTGGTATAGAGTGTCCATGGGCGGCGGTATCACTTAACATCAGATGAGTCTCCTGCCCTGTCTACATAGTAGGTACTCCAAGAAGGTGGAGTTACCACACGTAAGTGTATCGATTGACATAGTCTAAAATATATGAATTTTCTAAAATTTTTACATTCCCTTGTGCGTAAATTTTTGAGAATGTAATGCACCATACACAGAATAGGGCAGGTGCCAAGTAGGTTAGCCAAGACATAATTTAATGGTTATATTAAAATACTATTTCCTTTAATATGAACACTAACACCCCATAGAGTTAGGAACATTAAAACGCACGAAAGGCACGTTCAACATCGTACGATCATTTAGATCATACGATGTTGTTTTACTTAGTATTTGTTTTTTTTTTTTTTAAAAGGGATTGTTAGCTGAGAATTGAATGGACTTATTGGGATCACCCCGACTTGAAGTCGATACATGTACGCAAATTCATAAATCATTGACGTTTTGTCCTACTGGCCACTTTGACCTCAAATATCTCTTTGGTTAGGAATTCCAAATTCAATTTTTACAGCCATTTACTCGTGCATTTGTTTTTCGAAAACTAGGAATAGTTTCATTTTCCCGTAATAATATCGCGTTATTTACGAGTACGAGTTCCACCGTGGCACCAGTGCTGCAGAAACGGCACGAAGGATTAATGTATGGCGGCGGTGTCGCAAAAGAAAACACCTTTAGTTTTTGGTTTCAACGTTTTCGTTCTGGAAATTTCGACCTGCAGAACAAGCCCCGTGGACGGCCGGAGACTAAAGTTGATACCGGGGAATTGAAGGCTATTGTGGAAGCGGATGGGAATGCTAGCTGGTATACAACCAAGGCTCAGACCAAGGTCAATCCCTCTGCGCCACTGCTGCTTCACGACAACGCTAGACCACACATTGCACAACAGACTGCTACCAAATTAGAGGAGCTTCAATTGGAATGTCTAAGATATCCACTGTACTTCCCGGCACCTTGCTCCAACAGATTACCTTTTTTTTTATTTGCATAACTTCTTGCACGGTTAAAAATTCAACTCTGATGGTGCAATCGAAACCACCTCTAAAGATTTTATTGATTCCCGTCCGAATTGTCTTTTTATTAAAGGTATCAATGAACTACCTATGAGATGGCAAAAGTACATAGATATCAATGGTACATACTTTGATAAATTAAATATATTCTATAAAAAAATCTACTCTTAAGGACATAATATTTTGCCAAGCAGATTCCTGTGTATATAAAAATAATTCTTTCATTGTGAATCGAAAAACCTGCAAGTAGTTAAGTCACGAACAAGGAGTTCTATAGTTAAGATTATATCACCCATAGCAACTGGCTTGAATAGTTTGTGTAAAATGCGGTCTATCTATTCTTTAGATGTTCGTTTTTCTTTTAATCCGGAGTAGGCACTAATTAAAACCTTAACTCAAAATTGAAAAACATAACCTTACCTACTTGCACTGTTCCTACCCATTGTTTTACTCCGTTATAAAATACAGATTACCTACTTTTACCCTATTTAGTTTAAGCCTGTATGTCGGGCATCTAAGCTACATAGAGATTAATGCAGTTGGTCAGAAATGCTAGTAAGCTAAATGCCGATATAGATGCTTAGTAACAAGCGAGACACGATCCCTGGACTGCGGCCAAAATAAATCTAAGTGGATCGATAAAGCAAACTTTTTACAATTTCAATAATAAACAATAAAACCTCAAACTTTATAAATAAAAAAGAACACAAATTAAAAAAAAACAAATTACGAACACGATTAGGGTACTGCGTATACTGAGTAGATAATCGCTTGCGGTATTGTTCAGTAAGGCGCATGCGTGATTGCGCGCGCTGCCACAGGGCCCGGCTGTCAGTGGCCACTCCGCCGGCAAACTGGTCTTGAGGCACACGCGCGCCCTAGGTCCGCTACGCCAAGCAACGCCGGCCCTTCGCGGCCAGGAGCCCTCAGGAGCTCAATACCAACACAGAAACACCTGCGAGGGCAGAGCGGCGGCGTTCGCACAAGGGGTACGGCGGATCAAAGGTACAATTTTTATTACATCCCCGCTCAATAAGTCCCCTACCATATTGCAGTTGTTCAGGGGCCGCTGTATTGCAGGGTGCGAATTTATTTTGCTCTTTTAACGAATAATAATATATACTATTTCATAACGGATTTGAACAAAAATTTAGTATAACGATTAGCTGTTTGTCGTGCTTTACGAAATATATGGTTCTAATAACAAAGTAATTTAAATCTATCTAATACGTAACCTCACCCACGGCTGCTCCCAAAAACTTAGGCAATAAACTAGATTAACTGAATCCTCTTTGACAGTACTTCCAACATATTAAAATTATCGTTAATATATGGCTAGTATGGATTTATTGGCTGGTCGTTATTTTCACGTTATCAAACACCGCAAGGTTAATTATTATCCCGCGTCATCGTCTGCGCTTAAAGGAAAGCTTGTATAATATACAATGTCGAATATAATAAATAGTTCAGTAGTTTAGCTATTGATGTAACATTCACCATTGTAAGTATAAAAGCTGATGGATTTCCTAGATATGAATTAAAAATTGACCCACTTAATACGCTCCTTCCAATATCAATAGGTCCAAATTTTTAAGCAACAATATCACTTTGGTTTTGCTCTTAATTCGTTCTAAAATCTAAATAGCTCTTAACCAATGTAATGTAAAACGTAAAATGAATTTCGTCAAATATATTATTTATGTTAGTATAATCTCGAATCGTCGACGACCAATCCCTTTCCGAGCGGTTTAATACCTTGGCGTTGCGTACAAATGAGGGGTCACTCTGTATCTTCTACCGCATTTACCATGTAGAGTGTTCAGAGGAGTTGTACGGATAAATACAGGCAGCTGAGTTTCATCATCGGACGTCGAGGCAGAATAGGAAATTCCACCAGTTCACCTCAACAGTCGTTCCGCAACTGAGCAT